GGTGTGGGTGGGCATACAAAATGTATCCTTACTATAGAGGGGGAAAGGAAGGGATGGCATGGCACGGGAAGCACACGAGAACCACCATCCTTTCGACTCCTATGTTGATGGTTGTCCTACATTTCCACCTGATGCTCCTACTGAATGCACTTACTCCCCATCACCTTCCCAAAACGCTGTGGCTGAGCAAGAACAGCCCCTCACCAAGTCGCACTAACGAAAGCAATTGCTTCTGGCCCTGACTTTTAAAAACTAGACATCAGCTGCACTTCCCAAAATCAGTCTAGACAGAGCACCAACAGTAAGGAGGCAGGAAGGAGAAAAAAGAAGAGAGAGAGAGAGAGAGAGAGAGAGAGAGAGAGAGAATATGCCTGGAGACAGACACATAGCCTTGCAGCAAACCCAACCCTGCAGTCCCTCCTCAGGTGCAGGACCGGTCGCGGGATCCCGGAACGAGCCACTCACCCACAGCTCAGCTGGCCCAGCCACTGAGCAAGGGGGACCGAGGGAGCCGGAGCAGGCAGCAGCAGTCCGTCCAGCCACTATCTCTCCCAGGCCGCACACATGTGGTGCGGCAGGTCAGCACAAGTGCAACGACCCTGGCACTCCCAGAGGCCAGGGTGGGACCACAGAGACCTCCCTCTCCTGGCACAGGAGGGAGGTCTGTGGTCTGTTTATCCAGATATTTTGGGCACGTCTGCTAAAATCCCATAAAACCAAAAGACTTCTTGTAGTGGTTCACTTTCACATAGGAACAGACATTCTGGCAGTAAAACATGAGATCGAAGTAGAAGTTTATAATGACCTGCTTCCCCAAATTCATGGCAATCATAGGTTTGTGTGTCAAATTACAGTTGGTTCGTTTACTGAAATGTTATCTCTCATGTACTTATACACCCATTACCATAGTAACCAAATTCCTCAGAACATACAATGCAATTTTTGTACCTAGCATATTAAAACAAAATTAAGGTTACAAAGTCAAGCACTCCAAAATTAGGAAGCGTCAGAATTAAGACTACCAGCTCCCCTGCCAAACTATCTTAGCTTGTTGCCTTCCTCCCCATCTCCAGAGTTCCCAAGTCATCTCTTCCGCAAATCTCCATCTCCATTTCTCTGTCAGTCATAGCTCCTTTCTCTCTGATCCCTCTGCAGTCCCAGTCTCACTACACTTCTGTCCTGACCTATTCTTATCTCTCCTCTCTTACCTGACTCTTATACCTTCTGCATTCACATCAGACATTTTCCTCCTCCACATTGCCTGGGTGTTCTCCAGGAATGATTCACTGGACACAGGACAGAGATTCCCTATAGTCTAGGAACCGGAAACCAAAAAAAGTCCCTGTTGCAGGGAAAAGTCCTTCCGATCCCCCATAGCTCTGAGGTTAAGCATCAGGTCAGCACCAGGAGCAGCAAAATGCCTAGACAACGCATGGTGTTGGTTTACACTGTTGCTACCACCGAGTATTATACTAGAAGAGCATCCTAGGGACCGCAGTAAGGAATAGGCCTCTATCTCAGGAGATGCTTTGGGGGAAGGGGGAGGGGGGAAAAAGGTACATTCTGATGAGCTTACATAAGACAAATTGCCAAATTAACCTTTATGCCTTACTGTCTATACCATGAGGATATATATCACTAGGAGTAAGATAAATCCACGGAGTACTCAAGCACTACAGGTTTTAATATCAACAGCTGCGAGCACTCTAAAGCCGAAGAGTGGAACTACTTCCAATGGAATATATCGAGTAAAGACTGGAGATCTCTCCTCAAAGAGGTTTCACTCAAATACTAATCAAATCAGAGACTTTTGCATTTTGTTGCTTAACTGCCTCTCTACTAGAAAAACAGGTTAAGTTAATGTATCACTGCACACACACAAAAGACAAACGAGTAGATCTTTTCTCAAAATATCTGCTTTAAAAAAAAAAAAAAAAAAGAGCTAGCTCTTTTCTTGTTTTAACAGTATTACTAAAAATCCTGACAGAAGGAATGAAAGAGGTAGGTCAATATCTGCACCTGAAGGAAATACTTGGAAATATAGTTCAAAAACAAGGACCACAAAGCAGGTTAATGCCCAAGCTCCATTCAACGTAGGCTGATTCTTACTGAAAGTCTTTTCAAAAAATCCTTCTCTTCTACACCAATTCTTCAGCACTCTAAGCAAAACACACTGCACTTTCACCTAGGACTGAACAGAAAAGCACCCAGAAAAGCACTTAAGTTATTTCAGTGTACCTAGTAAACTTTAAAATATTTTGAAGCTGAAAAGGCAATTTCAACCCAAGTAGGAACACATCCATCCCAAATCTGACAGAAAGCTGTAATCAGAAATCAGTCTATTCCAGTAGCATGGATCCAACAACTTTATATTTCACATGTTCTTTGTGTGCTCACAAACCAAGCTTCTTAATCCAGCTCTTCTCAGGATGCATTCACAAAAGGAAATGAATGAATAAATAAATAAATTCAGCAATTATCTCCACTCCTATCCTTTAACTGAGGCGAAGGATAATTTGACTGCTTCAGTTTATGGACAAACCTATTTTCTCTGTCTTTTAAAGAGGTTAACGGAGATATGGTGGAACCTGCTCTCAGTTCAGCTTTCTGAAAACAGTGTTGTCCTGCCTGTTCCAAGTACTCTGGCCTCAGCGTTTGCATGAGGTGAGACGGGGAACTGGCCAGAAAGTGCCAATAACGGGTCACTTTTCTGACAAAGGCCAGATCTTTGAGAGATACAGTAAATGAATAGCATTGCAAAGGAAAGCCAATTAAAATAATCTTATACTCTTCCTTAAGCATCCACTGCTGACTACTGTCAGGGACTGAGCTAGAAGGCCTTTGTCTAAGCCAGTGCTGTGCTGGATGGCAGTAGCGGCTGTTATGAAGAGCCTTTGATCTAAAGGCAATCACTGATTTGGTCAAAGCTGAATTGTACTACTCACAGCACAATCATGCCATCTAATGAAGTATGGTAGCTGAAGATGATAAAAGCTACTACCCAGGACTATGACCACATTGCACAGCTTGAGCTGGATTAAGCTGTATGGTATAAAGAGCCTCCTTAAGACTGTCTGCAAATATGCAACATAGGAGCTGGCTCCATCAAATTACAGAAGTAAAGCAGCAGGGGACAGAGAGAGCCATGAGAACAGTCCCAAGAGAGCAGTGGGACAGACCTTACTAGGGAAGAAGGTTGTAAATTTTCAACAAGAAATAACCTGCGGTTTTTTTTTTTCCTCCAGAAACAGGGCTTTGTATTCTTCCTCCATTTTTGTTTTAGCAAACTGACAAAACACACAAAACACTATGCTTTTCTTATACGACACCTTCCAGAAACCTTCCTATTTCCCTGGAGGGCATAACAAATATTTTTAGGCAAAATAAGAGAGGTTGGTTGCATTAGAGTTTAATACTGTTACCTTATCTGTCTTGATACTTTAAAATGGTCCTCTTTCTTACAGTTACAGCTGCAGTAAATCAGTCCTAAATTCCGTGGCACACAATCCCACAGCATTTTTCACTTTAATTTTAAGAAAACTAGTGGAATTTTAAAAGCAAAAGAGTACATAACAACAACCCTTATCTAAAATCCAACTTGTTTAATGCTGTATCTTCAGATTTTATCATACCACCACTATTTCATACTAATGCTGAGTAACGCGTGGCAAACAGTAGAAGCTTTTACAAAGAGCTCTTTCTTTTTGGATGGAGGCAGTGGTTTGCACCAGGGCTGGTGGTACCTAATTGCTGGTGAAAAGTAAAATAAAATAATGTCTCTGAAATAAAGATCATTCATTCTAAAGCTGAAAGAGATCTATCTGTGGTATTCACACATATTGCCAACCCAGAATGAAGAAAGCAGATCACAACTCTAGGTCTATTGTTTCTCAGTCTGCACAGTGAGGAAGATAGCTTTGCCTGACTAACCTGAACCAACAGTAACAAAACAGCACGATGGAAAAGACTGCACCTGCAACGTTTCCATTCATAGATTCCTTAGCATTTCTCAGCTCTTGTGCTGCGTCTGGAAAAGTATGAAAAGACCAGAACTCTGGTGACAAATGACTGCTCCCTCTCCTATTTTTCCATTCTCACTACCTTCTCACAAGAGGATATTATTCAATTGTCAAAACTGGTGTTGCACATCTGACCTGGACTTTCATTATAAACACTTAAAAAGCATCTTACTTTTGCAGAGTACTTGGTAGAGCTGCAGTAAATATTCTTACCTTACAAACACGTAAACTACACGAGTAGGAGGTGATCTGCCCGAGATGACAAAAGTTCACAGCAAGAACAGAAAGGTCCGACATCCTGTTCCTTATACCAACCATTAAATTAATAGCGTCTGATCTTTTTCAAGTTTCACCTAGTGCCTAGCTTACTAAAATAAGGAGCAGCCTGGCTTTATAATCTTGTATCTCAATATGACTTACATGTATCACAAGACAGTGTTAAACCTTTGCGGAAGAACGGATAACTAAGTGAATCACAGAATTGTATCCAGAATCTTTCAACTCTTAAGACAAAGTCCCAATACGAGGCAAGAATATGGTGGCTGAAAGTTGCCTCTGCTACAGTAGCTGTTTAAGAGATAGATGTTATAAAATTCCTTTCACATCTATTTAGACTTCAGGAGACAAGCACCCACATCACAAAAAAACCCAGCTTCACATCCTGTTGGCAGTTTCATCAAAGTAGCCAACTACTTAAACAGGCACAGTGAAAGAATGAGTTCCTTTTCCCTAGAGGCTGCCTGTGAAGGGCACTGTTAAGGTATAACAGCAGAATAAAATAGGAAATCTTTGCACTACTGCAGTCTGCACTGTACCTAGGGATAAATAAAATTCCAATCTCCACAATCTCCAAGGCTGTCAATCTGACACCTTTTGTGAATACCAAATTCACGCCTACAAAGAACTTTCTTCTTTGCAGGTTCTGAAACATCTTACACACCGTTTCCTACTGGTAACTGAACAAGCAGCATAATTTCATACCTGGCAATTTGACGGTTCTTTTTCAGCAGCTTGGAATAATGGATTGTGTCTTTTGTTTGTCAGCAGAAACAGACAAATAAGAAAAAAAAAATCAATTTTCAAGTAATATTTCCTTTCTTCCTAAAAGAAGACCTATTTGCTGACTGCTCCGGTTGGCTAATAAACAAAGAGAAAGTCAGGTGTCCATTTTACAAAGTTCTAAGGATCTTGGATTTTGAGAAGGGAAAAAAGTAGGACAACCTCCTGATACCTTGGGCAGATACTGCCCTAACAACCAACCAGCAAAAAGCAAGAAACAGCTCCCTCATAATGCATGCAGGTCACCCCTGCAGTCCAGCTGGACAGGGAGTTACTGAGAACTCAACATGCCATGCCAGAAAACACTATTTACTTTTTGGATGCAAGCTATAAAGAGCAACCAAGAACTAATTAAGGTTCCTGAACACAAAAGGGCAAAGAATATGAGCTGTAGTGTTGCTTGCTGCCCAAAAGTTCTTACTACATCTGGACCACTTCTCAGAGACCACCAATCTCTCCTCTAACGACCAATACTCAGGGTTTATATCCTGCAAATACCTAAAAATGTCTCTCTGCAGATTATTTTGCAAAGTCATTATAAGTAAGGGAATATCTAAAACTCTAGCCTGTAAAGGAATAAACCTGTTCATATTTACATGAAATATATTGCTTAGTATAGCTAGTAACAAGCTTCATGAAGGCCAGTTGCAGCTAGACTGCAGAAGTGCTCCCTTAAAGCAAGGGAGAGAACTCAGATACACTCTTACATTATATTTCATAGGCTTGAACAAAATCAGCCTGGTTATATCAGTCATGTAGTTGGTTTTGGCTGCCCCCCTGACCCTGGCCAGGGCCCAACAGTAATCTTGGTGGAAGGCTGCTGTTAGTACTACCACGATATTAATACAAACATCTGAAGTGTACAGGAGAGGTCTCTGGTAGAAACCGACACAAAGTGTGACAAGAAGTGATTATGCAGTGCTAATTTAAGTATCTCCACAACAGCGAAAAACAGGGAGAGGTTACATTTAAAAAAAAAAAAAAAAACAACGAAACAAACACACCATACTCACACAGAAATATGGAGGACTTAAGTATTTATAAAGTGCCCATATATTTGCATCTGGCACATAATGCATATCACGTCCTTTACTACATACAGCATACAAAGCAGAAAAAAAAAGTTTGAGAACTTGATAGTAAGAACTGAAAAGAAGTAACTGTGCTTCTCTCTCTTTTTTTTTTTTCCTACTAAACTAATTCCTGTTGTATAAAGTCAGCTTGAAAGCTCCTTTCAAAGAAAAAGGGGGAGGGAGGAAAGGAGGAATCAGATCTGCTTGTTTTTTGCATTTGGAATTCAGGTCTCGTCTCCCCTGTTTTGTTTTCTTGGAAGATGTCGAAGCGGAGAACTTGCAGAATTATGACATCATGATTATTTAAAAAAGAAACTAAACTAAACTTCAAGGAGAAGCAGCTTTCAGTCAAATAAGAGTTTAAAATTTCAGGCTGCTTGTGTTTGTTAACACTCGGACAACTCAAAACTCCCCATGTCCACAGATAAAAGAATTTTCCCTTCAGACCTCTGGTCCTTGGAAACAGCCCAATCAAAATGGGGGAAGGCTGCAGTTCTGATGCTTTCAAGGTTAGCAGAATAAAGTTAAAAGATGTTTAGCTATTGTTCATCTATAAAGATACCTGGAACACTGCATTAGGATTTGCATTATTGAGTTGTACAGGCAAGTGGCTTTTACCATGACAAAACAAAGCAAAGCATAGCATGTTTAATCACTGTAAATTTGAAACTGCTATTCCTTGAAGACTTTACAAATTATTTCTTCCATATTATGCAAGCACTCTAAAAAGCATCTTTCCTGTAGAGCAAGTAAAATATGCCATACCAGAGACAGAGGAATTTCTCAGTGTGTATGCATATAGAAAGTAGCATCTGCAAAAGGAAAAAAACATGTTTCTCGCACTGGAGAGGATTTCATACCTTGTCTGCATTCATTAAAGCTCACGAGAGGCTCACGCTAAAACACACAAACTGACTACTCCATGCCACACGCAGATTCATCCTTCATGTAATACCTGAACTCAACAGAATTGACATGACTGGCAAGCTCAAAGATAGAAGGTTTCAAGTGAGAAATATCTTCAATGTCTTTGAAGAAGAAATCTCCAAGAAGTATCTTGAAGACTGAGACATCAAACTAGAAACTGCACAACCACTGTCCTTGCTTCAAACAATTTATGATTTAATTTCAAACAAAAACAAACAAACAAACCAGCAAAGCAAAAAGAAGCAGGAGAAGTACTGAGGTGGAAAAGAATAAATATGCAATGGTCACATGGTTTCACTGATAGCTAAACAGCACAATGGCTACAAATCATTTGAAAACTCTTTTCCTTGATTTTTTGGTAACTAAATATGAAATTATTAAGATTGCCCTCTCCACTTTATGCACAAGCTAATCAGTCTTAGTGGCCTGCTCAATTCAGTCAGAATACTAAGAATTTCTCAAAACAGCAAAGCTAATGTAGCTTGCTATTAACTGAGGGACAATGCTCCAATGATAACATCAACTAACCAGATATTTTTCTGAGACTTCATCCACAAAAAGAGATTTTTAAAAGATGCCATAGTGCAGGACGTCTCATACCTCTGCAGAACTTGTAAGACTTACTATTACTATCCATTTCTCCCTTGAGAAATCCAGGCATAACAACTAGTTGAGTTCAGATAAAACGCAATTATAGATTTCTGGGAAGCAGCTGAAGTTTTCTGTAGAGTTTGACTTCAAGACTTTAAACAGTAAAATGGTAAAACACTGGAATACACTGTCTAAGTATCAGAATCTCCTGCCCTGGTAAAGTTAGACAAACGGCTATCATTAATGAAGCATCAAAAGAAGGTGGGTAACTCCATTCAGAGAAGGAATTTTACTCAGAAGTTTTAACTCTGAGATTTATTAAATCATACAGAAGCAATCAAGAAAGCTGTGTCCTGATGGGTTACCTCTGGAAACTAGTCAGGACAGATGGACATCGACCACCACTGTAACTTTCTGTTTATGTACTTACAGGACATATTTTAGTGGTGTAACCATATGTGTCATGCACTTAAAAATGCAATCACATGCATGAAATCACACAAAAACTCCCTAAATCAGCAGGTGCTTGAATCCTCCAAACCAGAAAATAAGCGGACAAGTAGAATCACAACTCGGTACACTCCTTTCCACTTATTCTAGTCCGAATCATCCTGGTTTCCCCAATCGCTATGTAAACAGGTAGGTAGATTTTGCGATGCACAGGATGAAGATAAACAGAACTAAGAGTAAGAACTATTTCAAATCAACAAGGGTAGTATTAGTTCCAAAGCAAAAGCAGATCTTGGAGAAAACTAACTGAAGTTCGTACTCCATGACTGTGACAATATTGCACAGGGGGGTGGGGGAGAGGAACACACACACACACAGAAAACCTAGGTCCCAAAATACTGGGCATTCCCATAAAAGGGCTCAAATTTCAAGGTTTTTATTCTGTTTGGTTATTCTAGTTTTAAAACAACATGACTGAAGCAATATAATCCTTTGTTTGATTATTTCCAAAGAAGCTCCAGCAATTTTACTGTGTAGATATACTTTAAATGAAAAACAACGTTGTAAACTTCTCTGTAGAGACAATTAAAGTAGAATCTAGAATAGATGAAAGTTACTTGTGATGTATTCAGCAATGTCTCGCTCAGGGTGCTTACAGATGCCTTACAGGAATAGGGGGCTGGAAGCTCTTCCTTTTACTGCATCAGGTGAGAATGCTTTCAGCTTTCTACAGAAAACATCAGTGTGCATTTGTATTACATAATAACTGGACTCCAAGAAGATTTGACATTCAGGTCTAGTAGGGACGGTACGAACAGGATAAAAGGATATACTCTTCCTCCAGCTATCTCCACAAAAATCTCTAGTTCTTGCAATTATATATGCAGAAGAGTATTTTTACTTAGGTAAGCAGCCCCCAGGTATTCCTGTGTGCGACTGACTCACGCACTGAAAAGACCGAGTTTGTTATTCATCAAGTTCAAGTGATAAATATGTGAAATTGTAATGCATTAAGGACCCCTTTCACATTTAAAACAAACAAACAAGCAAACAAACATAAAGCAGGCAACATATCACATTACAAATTTCAAGATTAAGCTAGCTCATTCAGCAACAAACAGCATTAATTTGTCATAATGATAAGAAAAGTCTACATAGTGCTCATATGATGAAACAAAAAAATCTACACTCTATTCTTACTAGGTCAGGCAGAATTCTAAGAAGAGATCCAGGACAGCGCTGCTGCCATGCTTTTGGATACCTATGCCACTGCACCCACGGAACGGAGACCACACGTATAGCATACGACCCAGTACACTTACGCTTCTAGTTTACAACCTAGAAGGTGGTGGAGTCCTGTTGGTCAGCTGTTAATCAGGGACCAAGGAGACAAATTCTTCTACTTCTGTCACTGGTTAATCAGCAATGCTGGACAAATCACTCACTTTTCCACCTATATGACAGTATGAAGTACACCTTCTGAATGTGAAAAATAAATATACATTGATCACCTGTTTAAAATATCTTAGGATTTATGGATGAAATTAAGAACTTGAAATTACTATTATCATCCTACCACCTCAGAGAAAAGTATAAAAGCATCACATATTTCAGATAATCTTTCAGCCTTCTAGCTCGCGTAAATTTCTGTTTGTATATTAATAGTTCATTTTTCATATTAATACTTAACAATACCTATTTCTATTTAAACATTAACATATTTATAATACCTACATAAACAATTATACAAATGTATAGTCACAACAGTAATTAGTTCTCAATACCAAGAGTGGGAAGAATGTCCGAGCCTACTCGAAAGAGGAACATACACCCTGGTGCTGGTGGTGGACCAACCACTGTGGAGACCCCACAGCTCTGTGATGGCCTGTCTGCATAGTCACCCACAATTACCACTTCCTGCAACTGGAGAAAATACAAGATACTTGAAAAAATTAATTCACACATTATTTTAGGAGACAACAGC